GTCACACACTCTCGATCCAGCCACCTCAGAAAAAGCCCCGCCTATGACTGCATGGGGCTTTAGGGGGACATCCAGACACAAGCCAGAACAAACACACAGGCGGAAATCACAAGCATCAGAGGAAAAGCAGGGCCAAAGCATAGGAGTCCTGAACTCAGTGAAAGCGGATACACAAGAGCAGAGGGAGGGGAAAGGGGAACAAGCCTTGAGCCACAGAATCATTAAGGTTCCGGGAGAGGCAAAGGGGGACTGCAGCCCTAGGGACGCTCTAAAGCTGGGGGTGCAGTCAGCGGTGGGGCACTTGCTCAGCATGCAAGGCCTGGGTTCAATTTCCCAGAACTGATGGGAAAAAAAAGCCAGAGGTGGTGCACACCTGTAATCCGAGCACTAAGGGAGGCTGAGGCAGGAGGATGGTAGTTTGAGTCCCAGCTGGTCGATTTAGCAAGACTGTATCTCAAAAGTGAGAAAGACTAGGATGTAGCTCAGTGGTACAGTGACCCTGGACTTGATCCTCAATAACACACACGTGCATGCACACACACATGCACACACACGCACAGGATTGCATTCACCAACTCCTGTTTCACATGTACTCAGAAAGAACTACATTTCCCAGCATTCCTTGTGGTTGACCTGGGGTCACATGACCATTGCAGCCAATAAGATGCAGGCAGGAATGCTAAGGCCCCTCTGGGAAGCCACGCATATCTACACCTGCTGGGCAGAGGCACCTGAGGCCCCTTACCCCTGCCAGCTTCCTGGAGTTTGGGGAGGGTCAGAGGCCACAGAGGTGCAGGACAGTCCTGTCCAGACAGCAAGAGCTCTGACCACGACATGACAGGGGAAAGTAGAACCTGTCCTCCAGCAGGAACCACACCATCTTGGGCTGCATTTGGCCGTACAGGCCCTTTCCCTCGAATCTTCCGCTTCATGGCTATGCTCCTCCTGGTTGGATGGTGTCATCTGACGCCCACCCCAGATGACTGTCAGCAGTTCCTTCAGAGTTCCACATTTTGACTGAGGAAGAATTGGACTGTCAGCCCTGACGAATGAGTTGTCATGACCTTTCCCAAAGGTGGCCCTGCCTAGAAACAACCCAGTTGAGTGCTTCTCAGAGACATCAAAGAGGGACAAAGAGCCCAACAATATGTCAGAAGTTCTCAGATGACAACCCTGTCATTGGTCTGACGGGCTCAGACTAGGCCATGCTGGGTTCTCTTCTTCAGCTGGACCACCAGGAGCCCATAGCACCATCATCAGGGCAACTAGGACTCCTGCCTCTTGCCCCTTCTGCCAGGCACGAACTTGCAGCCCGGGAGGAATCTCCTGTGTAAGCCAGTCCCCATACGGCTCCTTGCAAGAGATCTCTTCAAGTTAGAAGTGACCGGCTCCTTATCTCCTTCGCACCAAGCCAGTCGGCCTCCCTCTCGTTTAACCCTGCACTTTCAACTTTGACTGTTCCCCAAGACGGAAGACAATGTCTGCATCAGCCTGAGACAGATGACTGCGATTCTGCAGTTCTGAAAATTCTCCTCCCAGAGATATGAGCCAGTCTTAACCTCTGGGCCTAACCACGCCCATGCTCCAGCCACACCTCAGCCGCCTAAAGCAGCTTGGGGTCCTGCTGGACTGTTAATTACCTCGGGACACTCCTCTCCTTCCAGTAAAAATGCCCAATGGGGGTTACCGGCCAGTGCAAGAGCTCCATGCCGTCAGCGATGCAGCCATCACCTTGCACTCTGCAGTTTCCCACCCATGCACACTTTTCGGGCTGCTACCTCCAGATGCCACCTGGTCTATGTGTCTAGATTTCAGATATGCCTTCCTCTGCTTGTGGGTTGCTCCCATAGGCTCCTTCTCCTGGGAAGCTCCTGAGACAAAAGGCCAGCTTCCCTGAACTCAGTTGCCACAAGGGTTTAAGAATTCTCCCACTATTTCCAGGGAGCCTCTAAGAACAGATTTGGCCAAACCACCAGCAGCTGTACTCAGACACAGCCTGTTTCTCTGTCCCTTCCTGCTCCATCATGGTCCCCAAAGCAAACAGGATAGGTTGTCAAACTGCTAGAATAGACTTCTCCTGCCTGCAAAGCCAGTTGAAGATCCCGAGCTGCCAATGCTGCCGCGATTGCCCTTCATAGGCCCTGCCTCAGTCTTCTGCGACCCACAGCCCGCTGGTACACCTGCCCGGACCTAAAGAATGCCCTCTTCTGCCTTCGGTTGGCTCCTGACAGCCAGCCCCTCTTTGCAACTGACCTAGACTCAACCTCCTAGAGGTTCAAAGACTTGTTTCCTCTTTGGTACCAGAAATCGAACTCAGGACCTTGTGCTTGCCAGGCAGGTGCTTGCGCCGCTGAGCTATCTCCCCAGCCCTTGTTTCCTCTTTGAAGAAGCACTTCTGATTAATGATACCCAAGCTGCCTGCTGGAAAGACACAAGCTCTGCTGCATTATCTGGCAGAAACTAGGTACAGTAAAAAAAAAAACTGCAAATGTGTGGGAGCTGCTGGCTTCTACTGAAGACTGTACAGGATATGGATCCTTGAGTTTGTAAAATCAGTGATGCTTACTCAGACTGTCAGCTCCTGGGAGTGCCCAGTGGCCGACCTGTGCAAATACTTGGATCCAGTCGCTAAGGGCTACCTCCCTGCTTTGCCTTTGCACTCTAACTGTCACTGGCCTGATCAAGAAAGTGGACAAGCGCACCTTAGGCTGAGACTTAACTGTCCAGGTGCCACATGCTATACTGGCTGACCAGACTTAAAAAATTAAACCCCCAACAGATGCTGAGAACACCCTGTTTACGAATGGAAGTAGCTCTGTTAGGAATGGAGTCTAACAGGCTAGATATTCTGTGGTCACCTTGGACAAAACTTTTTTTTTTTTTTTTTTTGTCTTTTTGACACATGGTCTCACTAGGCAGTTCAGGCTGGCCTTGAGCTCACTTTGTAGCCCAGGCTGGTCTCAAACTCATGAAGATCCTCCTGCTTCAGCCTCCAGAGTGCTGGGATTGCAGGCGTGCACTATCACCCCCAGAAAACTATTTTGGCCAAAGCTCTCCTGCTACTGCTTCCTGGTGCTGTTTGGAAACCTGCCACCAATTCAAAATAATTCAATCCAGGGGCCTAAGCCCCCTCTGGGGATCCAGTTGGCTGAAACATCAACGCCTACCAGAAAAACTTTACCCGGTACTCCCGGAAGATCAGAGCCAGACCTGCCCCCACCGTTTGTTCTGCAAGCTCAAGCCAGAGTGCTGGCACCATACCTCTGCAGCCAGCTTGGGCTTCAGGGTCTGTGTCACTGGCCCTAACCTCGTGCAGTATAGTGGACTCTCCCCATTTAAAGATATGCAGACAGACTTCGTAAAAATAAAATCTTACAGGGGTTACAAATATCAGCGCTCCTCTGCCTCTACTCAGGCTGGCTGAAGACATTACAATAAAAGTTTGCAGGGTCCTGCTGTGAAAAACCTTCCCTAGATATGGCTCACCTCTCATCACTGGCAGTGACCAGTGTCCTGGCTGAGGGGGGCACCTTCTGCTACAGTTTCAAAGCTTTTGAGCATTTTTAAATTGGTCACTAATTTATCTCTAACCCCCGCACCCCCTGCTTTCTGATCACTAGGGATGTGGGCTGGGGGGATGGAGACACTGCCCTCCTGCTTTGGGCCTGGAGCGGCCAACAAGGGGCTCGCATGCCACCCATTGAGCTCTGGGCTGGGCCTGTCCGAGGTCCCCTGAGCCCTCACTCTTCCCCTGCCCCCTCCCCCCGTGACCCTCCCTGTGCCCCTCAGACGACCTCGTGGAGAAGGCGCCGTGCTCCTGGAACGCCTCCCGCGTGTGCGAGTGCCGGCCCGGCATGTTCTGTGCCACCTCTGCCACCAACTCCTGTGCCCGCTGCTCCCCACACTCCCCCTGCCCCGTGGGGATGGTCGTCACGGCCCCAGGTGAGTGTCCCCTTGGGCCTCAGGGCGCTGCCCTAGGTGCTGCCTGCAGGATGGGGGCTGCTTTCCCTGCCTCGGAGTCGGGCGTTGGGACAGAGGTGCCCAGAGCGGGCACCCGGCTGGAGGCTGGGAGACTTGGCTCTGTGTTCTGACCCGCTGTGTGAGCTCAGGCAACTTCCTCACCCTCTCTGTACCCAGGGGGTCTCGGCCAGAGAAGACGCTGTGGATGGTGTCAGGGAGGTGCAGGGAGATGGGGGTTTGGACGCCAGCCTATAAGGGGTGCTCCAGCCCCTCAGGGTGCAGGGAGAGGAGTGAGATGAGGTCAGAGGAGCCTCGACCCCTCCCCCAACATGCCTCCTCCCGCACACACGGGGACACTGGTCTCTCGGCTCCTCTCTGCCCTCGCCCCCCAGCCAGCGGCCCCCAGGGCTGCAGACTTCACCCCCATCACGTCTCTGTCCCCGCATCCCACCCTAGGGGGACAGTGCCACCCCTGAGCCGCAC